CCCCCCAAAGCCCCAGTAGATAGTTGTATGCCATAGCTGCACATCCTTCTAGTTGCTGTATGTGGGACTCGGCCTCAGGATGGACAGAGAAGTGGTGCCTCGGTGCGCGCCCGGGATCCAAACCTGGGCCACCAGCATCGGAGCGCGCTCACCTAACTACCAAGCCACGGGGCCGGCCAGGTTTGGTTTATTCTGAGGCCTCTCATCGGCTTGCAGATAGCCACCTTCTCACTGTGTCCTTACCTGTTCTTTGTGTGTGAGTGCATCCCTGGTGTCTCTCCATGTATCCAAATTTCCTCTTCTTATAAAGGCACCAGTTAGATTGGATTAGGGCCCACCCTAAAGGCCTCATTCTAACTTAATCACCTCTTTAAAGGCCCTATTGCCCAATAGTCACATTCTGAGGTACTGGGGATTAGAACTTCAACGTATGAATTTTAGGGGGACACAACTCAGCCCATAACACTCTACCCTCTGACTCCCCAAATTTGTGTACTTCTCACATCCAAAATACATTCACTCCCATCTCAACAGCCCCAAAATCTTAACACATTCCAGCATCAACTCTAAGTCCCAAATCTCATCTAAATATCATCTAAATCAAGTGTGGATGCGACTCAAGGTATCCTTGAGTCCTGAGGCAAAATTCCTCTCCAGCTGTGAGCCTGTGAAACCAGACAAGTTATCTGCTTCCAAAATACAGGGTGGGACAGTCATAGGATAGACATTCCCATTCCAAAAGGGAGAAATGAGAAAGAAGAAAACTATCGGAGATCCCAAGCAAGTCTGAAACCTAGCAGGGCAAATTCCATTAGATTTTAAGGCTCGAGAACAATCCTCTTTGCCTTGATGCTCTGTCCTTCTGGCTCTCCAGTTTCTCCACTGAAACCGAGGAGACAGGCTTGCCCCCCTGGGGACTGTCCCCTCTGGGCCTGTAGTGGCAGCAGCAGCCCTGTTGAGCTCTGCATCGCCTTTGGGGTTATTCTTCCGTTTTCTTGAAGGATAACACCTGCTCAAAGTCAGATCTGTTCTCTTGTCCTTTGGAATCCAGAAGTCCAATAGCCTTCCTTCATTTCATCTTGTCTCTGCCCCTTTAGTCTAAGCTGGCGGTATTTCTGCTGATATAACCCCATCTCTGTTCCTGGCTTCTGCTGAGACGGCTGATTGGATCCATGAGTCACACCTATAATCTCTTTGTCAAAAGATTGTCCAGCCAAAACCTTTGTGTTATCTCCTGAACATGCTTTCACATTTTGTTCTATGGATAGGCTGAGATTTTTCCAAATCTTCAAGTTCTGGTGCCTTTTTGCTTAACAATTTCTTCAATGTATTTCTCTCCTCTTGCATTTGACTATAAGCAGCAAGAAGAAACCAGGCCACACCTTCGACACTTTGCTTAGAAGTCTCCTCAGGTAAATGTCCAAGTTCTTTGCTACTTTATAACAAGGATCAACATTTCTCCAGTTTCTAATAATATATACCTCATTTCTTTCTGAGATCTCACCAGAATCACCTTTAACATCCATATTCCTACCAACAGTCTCTTCAAGAAAATCTAGGCTTTTTCTAACGTACACCTCAAAATTCTTCCAGCTTCTACCCATTCCCAGTTCCAAAGCCACTTCCACATTTTTAGTTATTTGTTACAGCAGTACCCCATTTCTTGGTACCAAAATCTGTAATTAGTCTGCTAGGACTGCCATAAAGAAAGGACCACAGACTGAGTAGATTAAACAACAGAAATTTATTTTCTCACAGTTCTGAAGGCTAGACATCCAAGATCAAGATATGGCAAGTTTGGTTTCTTCTGAGGCCTCTCTCTTTGGCTTGTTAGATGGCCATCGTCTCACTGTGTCTTCACATGATCTTTCCTCTGTGTGTGCATCTGTGGTATCTCTTTGTGTGTCCAAATTTCCTTTTCTTAAAAGGACACCAGTCTTGGGGCCGGCCCCGTGGCTTAGCGGTTAAGTGCGCGCGCTCTGCTGCTGGCGGCCCGGGTTTGGATCCCGGGCACGCACTGATGCACCGCTTCTCCGGCCATGCTGAGGCCGCGTCCCACATACAGCAACTAGAAGGATGTGCAGCTATGACATACA